ATGGGGCGAAACCCTATTGTAATTGCTTTGCTTATTATTATTTTTTTTCCGCCGTTTTTTGTAAGTTCTGTAACTTGAAAAATAATGCTGCGATTGATTTGCCATTTTGCATGCTGATAAAGGGCCATGAGTTGTGGTGCATACCCCAAAACCAGCCATGTAGGTCACATGACCTGGCCCATCTTAGGTAGAACACAAACCGGAAGTGCTCAATTGCACCACTTTCTGAGGGTCTTGGAAACTTCCGGTTTTTTTGTGTGGCATCATTGGTTCATGTCTAGCAAATATCAGTAATAAAATATTTAGTGGTCATGTGACCTTGGCCGCCATATTGGATTTTGTGAAAATTGACAAAAAACTTTTAAAATCTTCTTTTTAAAAATGGCTCGTTCATGTGATCGGAAATTTGCTTTGGAGCACCTATGGCCATGGCAGCCATCTTGGATTTTTTCGAAAGTTAAAGTACGCTATAACTCGTGAACAATTTGCTAGATTGAAACCAAAGTTGGCATATAGCATCCCTTGAATAAGATGGTTACGTGTTTATGAAAATACTTCCCATGATTCAAGTGGTTTTGGTGGCCATCTTGAATTCATCAAAAAAATGCAAAAAACCTCAAAAAATTATCTTCTTAAAAACTGCTTGCTTGTTTGAAAAGCAATTCAGCATATAGTATCTCTGTCGATAGCTCTACAAAGTTACTGAAACAGATTTTTGAAAAATTGCTTCCTTTGGCAGCCATCTTGGATTTAGTAAAAAGTGAAATTACATGTATGCTATAACTCGTGAACAATTTGCCAGATTGAAACCAAAGTTGGCATATAGCATCCCTTGAATAAGATGGTTGCGTGTTCATGAAAATATTTCCCATGATTCAAGTGGTTTTGGCGGCCATCTTGAATTTACCACAAAAATGCAAAAAACCTCAAAAAATTATCTTCTAAAAAACTGCTTGCTTGTTTGACAATCAATTTAAGCATATAGTATTTCTTTTGATAGCTCTACAAAGTTACTGAAGTAGATTTTTAAAAAATGGCTTCCTTTGGCAGCCATCTTGTATTTAGTAAAAAGTGAAATTACTCTATAACTCATGAAGTTTGCCAGATTGAAACCAAAGTTGGCATACAACATCTCTTCAATAAGGTAATTATGTATTCATGAAAATATTTACCATGATTCAAGTGGTTTTGGCGGCCATCTTGAATTTATCAAAAAAAACCGCAAAAAACCTCAAAAAAATTGTCTTCTTAAAAACTGCCCGCTTGTTTGACTAGCAATTCAGAATATGACCCATATGTTGATAGTTCTACAAAGTTACTGAAACGGATTATTGAAAAATGGCTTCCTTTGGCAGCCATCTTGGATTTAGTAAAGAGAAAAAGTTCTATAACTCATGAACTATTTACCAGACTGATACAAAATTCGGTATTTGGAATCCTTTCAAAACGTTTATCATATTCCATATATTGTGTAGTTTGTCTGCCATCTTGCATTCTAGACATGAAACGTTCGTCAAATAATCACATCGAGCAAGTGCAATTTGCCATGAGCCACGCAGGCTCGAAACCCGTCATCGCTGCTATGCAGCTATATTTACTTTTACATTTTATCAGCTCTGCTGTCGGGTTTGTGGACGCCTTCTTGAAAAAATGCAAGTCTGATTGCTTTCATTGATACTTTATGATGATTTCTTTAATTCTAGTACTTTTCCATGACTGAATTTGGATTCATTACAAAATAGTACAATTATCAACTACCACTTTCACTAAACATTTGTTATTATTCATACAGATACACACATTTTTTTTCAAAAATTGTTCTTGCTGAGATAAAAAACACCCGAACGAATCATGTTCTATTAATTTCAGATTGTACTCAATGTTGCTGAGCTTCCTGATGAAAGAAATATTAGTCCAGCATATGAATGTATTTATGAAAATGGGTTTGAGACATCAGCCAATCAGTCTGGTCAGAGCTTGTCATGTGATACACCACCTACCAATCAAAGACCTGATATACCAAGTGTTCAAGGTAGAGCTCTTAAGATATTATCAGTGATACCATACATACATACATGTATAACTCATAATGAAATCAATACCTACCATAAAGTTTGTGAAGATAAATATAGTACAGTTTCATCATGTTGTGTTTGATATAGATCACATTTGAACTGTACAAAAATAGTGTTTACTCAACATTTTAAATGATTTAATATTTGGTACATATAAATCAAAGAATATTCATGCAAGATTTAACAACCAGAAAACAGCAAAAATGTGTGGCTAACAAAGATTTGCACTTCATCTGTTTGTCTTTCAGATCATGTGTCTGTACAACTGCTTGTAAAAAGTTATGAAACAAATGTGAATTTTGTCAATACTAGTTTCTATTTCTTTGAATGTTCAAACATTAAAACGTGAGTTTTTTCTTCAATTATTATTTCAGTTGATGATGTTTATGAGACATGTTTGAAAATTATTTTATTTGTAATTGTGTGATCTGCAAAATATGTTCAGTATATACACAGTATATTTCCCCTGTAATTCCTAACAATGCAAAATCAGCAGAGCTCTGCACTTCTAAGATTAAATACAGAAAAAAAAAAATTTTAGCATTTGAAATTTAAAGAATAGCAGATACAACCATAGTGGCACATAGCATGGCCAATCTTGTTAACTGGTCATTGGACATAGTTCTTTAGGTGGTGGGTTAGTGTGAAAACACTATCGTACATCATGCATGTTAACTGAACCTTACTAAATAAGATAAGGGAAATGTACAAGCTTATACATAGAGTACTTTACAGTAGAATAAATATAATAGAAAATAAGTGTATTCTGTAAATAATAAACTTAATATTGTAATAGTTGAATATTGCAAAGTATATTGGTCAGTGTGAAATATTGTACGTTATCTTCGTATTAGTTTGCATGTGTCAAATGGTTGTTATTACCAAGGAAAGAGAGATCTTCTGTCTAGTGTATTTGTTACTCATCTGTAGTAATTTTGTATTAGAAACACCACAAGAAAGTGTAAAGATATAAGCCCACAGTTTTGTTAGAGTTGAGTAAATTACACATGAGCATCAACAACTTCAGAAATTGTGGCTGGTTTACAATTAGCGTAACGACAAAAAGACATTTGTGGATTTACAAATATAAACAAATGGCCATAACAATGGGTCACATGACCAAAAATATTATAAATACTGTTACAACAGCAATCACAATGTGATGTTTTAAATATGAAACTGATACAACAAATTTTGAAATTACGATATATAGTTTTTGTAAAACTGTTCCTTTTTTTTAAGAATTTCTTCTGTAGTTCAGTAATTTCCTGTTGTGTTATTCCAGGTGTACAGAATGTGTAAGCAGTAACTGGGCATGTGATTGGTGTATATATGAAAACAGGTGTACACATGAAAGTGATACATGTGCACAGGATGATAATTCAACAATTGTATTTGGTGTAAATGTAAGTTTTAATAGTCAATTGATTATGCTTGTACATTTGAGATTGTCAAAATGAATCTAGAATATCACATGTCATTTCAGAATTTTTGAAAATAATGCAATGTGAAAGTATTCTAATATATACCAACCATCTATCAATGTACAGAAGATTTCTTGACATGCTAAGGAAGGATATGTGTATTCTCAGCTTTTTATAAACATGTTTTATTTCACAGAATATTTTTACTAATAGTATGCGAAGAGGTGATTATTTTTGTCCTCATCTGGAACAGCAAGATGATGAAGTTCTGATTCCTGTAGATCTGACTAGTATCATTACAATATCCGCTGTCAACTTACCTGAACTCAAGGTATGGTATTACACTGAGTAATATTGCAAATAAAAAAATAGTTTGGAAACCTTTGTATGCATGTTATTTTTACTGCATATATTTTATTATATTTTGTATATACAAAATGTACATATTAGATAAATATTTTAGATACCGGTAGTTGTAAGGGAAATTCCATTCTAGTTCATGTGTTTTGAGAGAAGATAGCAGCAGTTTGTCATGCCATCTGACTTGTTATGATTTAATTATAATTATCTGTTCTGTTCAATGATTTAATATACAGCAAATACAATAGATAATGAATCTACATATACAATGATGAACTCTTCGCCAACCCTGGATAATTGGTGAAAGCACACTTTGAGGGCACACTTTGTGGGAAGTGGTCACCCAAGTACAAGTCTCGACACAAAGTATGCTTGACTTCAGTATGGGTTGGCGGGGAACCCATTATTGTTATTATTTTGAAATGTCATAAAAACCAGTGAATTTGCTGTCATAATACACAAAAGCTTATTATATTAAAAACGTCTCACTGTCACTGGCCCCGGAATCTGCATAATTTAAAATGCAATTCTTAGCCAGGAATTCACATTGCTTTCAACAAAATAAAATGAGAAAGAGTTTTGATACATTAAATAATAAATATATTCATTTATATTGTGAGTGGGAAAAAAAAGACTGATACTATGTCTTAAAGTAACTTTGTAGTGAATACTACACAGGTACACCATTCCACAGCCTTTGATTCCATGGCTGTGTTTATGAGTTGTTCTGATGTGCTTCCCCTCAGAAACCTACAAAATTTACAATCACTATGTTTACAAATGTTTAAGAGTAACTTTTATTGTCCATGCAATTTTTTTGAGTGCTTGTAAAAACTGATTTTTTAAGCTCCACTGACAGCAAAGATGACAGAGAGGAGCTGTATATTTTTTGGAGCTGTGATTGTCCGTCAAGAATTACATTTTCATCTTCGTCTTGAAAACTACCAGCTCAAACAAATGCTTTGATATTTAATATGTGGATACCCTGGGTGGAGTCTGTCAGATTTTTTTCAATTCTTAGCAAATACATTTTGTCATTTGTGGGTGAACCTGTACTCCCAATGTTTTGATTACCGGTAGATCCAGCCAGCAAAAATCATTGTTTAAATGCATTTGGCTCTGATAATCTTGGGGTTGAGCTCTGATAACAAAACTGGACCCCGACATGGCCCTGACTATGTAAATACATCAGGCAAAAATCAGCTAGCCCTTTCTTGCCTTCTTCAAATTATGTTCCATTCAAATCATGGCATCTCAGAAGTCAATATCATTTGTAATTTCTGTGTGGAAATAATTATTTTCAGTTAACGACCATTGGCACAACTCGTTTGCCCATTCTTTTTTGTCTTCTCTGAGTGTACCTATATTTTCAAGAAATGTATTGTCGGTCTTGTCATGACATAAAACCGAAGAATTTGAATAGTCACTGGAAGACATCAATATCAAGAAGGTGTTGTGTCTAGATTTGACACAGTTTCTCGAATATTAAAAAATGATTGAGGGAGCTGTTTCATTTGACTCTGAAAGAACCAGACTGACCTCAGCTCTTATTTGACCCCAAACGTATAAACATACAAGAAATAATCTCCTGTTAAATGGTGGGAAGAGCAATAGTTCGGCTCCAATAGAATGCTGGCATGTAAATCTAGCATATGATGTTAATTTAACTATGTATGCATTTAGTATTGCAAGACTGATGAAAAAGTGGAGCTGTTTCAACCGTCAGCTTGTTAAATATTCTCTCTTTTACATGTACCCCGGTATATGTTTCTGAGTACAACATTGTATTCATGATGCTCAATAATGAGATACATTATCATCATTAATCTGCAGCGATGACTCCTAAAAATTCACTGCTATTGATAATGCTATAATACCGGTATGTGATATACAGTATTTGTATATTTATAGGGTAATCCTGGTTATGAGTGTATTCTGAGAGGAGATGGATTTGAAGATTCCACACCAGCTACCAGACATAATGACTCTACTGTAATATGTAATAATAAGAAAGTGAGTATTATACACTGTTATATCAGGTCACATGGTGACAATTCTACATTGCCACTGTGGGTTTATACATGACCATTTAATTGTTATATCTCACATTGTTTAGTAAAGAAAAATATTGTTATTGTTTTGAAAGGCTAACTGTTGATGTTCTGTGTTTCAGTATAATTATGATGCTAATGTTCAGGAGCTGAATGTTAGTTTAACTGTGCAATGGAATGATAATTATATAATTGATGATATATACGGATTCATTGGTGAGTATCTGTTATATTATAATTTTTTGATTTATTGATACCTATTTGTGCAAATTGCATTCTGTACAGTATGGTGTAGTGCTTCTACATCCAATGTAAACAAAGAAAAATGTTTGCATGTGACGCAGAACATTCTTGAAACACATTAATGTTGGTGACATTATAGTGTCCCTCATAAAAAACAAGCCTGCAAGGAGCAGCAAATTGTTGTCAGTGTTAGATGTATAATGTATTAACATAAAATATTATTTATATATAAAATCTGTACTACCACTGAGTTTGCGCATTGAGAGATCACTCTTGTTAATGTATCAGCAATATACTGCCACAGTGCATAAGAATAACTAAAAAAAACACTGTGTATAATTATAAATATTCTAATTTAGTTGTCACTTTTGAAACATTTCAGTCATTCTTAAATAAGAGTATAACGCCTAATTTAGGATATTATTAATGTTTTTCATAATTGTTACTGTCTATTTTATTGTGTCCAGTGTGAATGTGTAAAATCAATTTTTTATACCTTTTGAAATTTTTAGTTTATGATTTTCCTCGTTTTTAGAATCAAATTAAGGCCTTTCACTC